GAAGGGCAGGATGGAGAACATTCCAGGTAGAGGGGACAGCAGGTTGCTAAGACTCTTACGAGGGAAGAAGGGAACATGAAGTATTCAGGGAACTGAACTAAAGAACGCTAGTGTATCTGGAGGAGAGAGGGGCGGAGGCAAAATGAGCACAACTAGCAGGCTGAGGCCTTTCAGGGCCTTGTAGGCCTTGGTAGGAACTTCACCTTCATCTTCATGAAGGCATACTTGGGAGACTCATGATGGAACACCTGGTAAATCAAAAATATTTCACCAGCCACTGCAAGCCTAGGGCTCTTGATTACTTTTCATGTATTGCAGAGTTCCCTTTTACTGGAAAAGGGTCTGAATATTTTAGTGCTAATGTAGGTTTACTTTTTTTACATTAAAAATCAGTGTTTCTTAGTTTATTCACATGGATAATTTAAACCAGATAAGCCTTTAGTTCTACTTTAGTTCAGAGATCATGTAGTGATGTGAAAATGCATGTGTACTGTATTTTGTCTTTGGTTGAGATTATGGCTTCCTTTAAAACCTCATTAGTTTAGGCTTATGGGTGTGGGCAAGGCCTATCCAAATTAGAGTTTATTTGAAAAAGAATATAGCAGCATTATTGTATGTCCATAGATTCATTGAAATGAAAATAAGCCTATTTTGTGTGCGAAAAGCTTTTCATTAGTGAACACGTGGAAATTTTTAATTAGTAGAGTCTCAAGCCAAGCATATTAATGATATGATAACTCATTCATTTATTCATATACTTTTATTCAGTAAACATTAAACTCCTTTGCTGACTAGATATTTTCAAATGACTTGATATATTATTATCTTATTTAGGTAAAATATATCTCAATTTTATGTTTTTGTTCATTAAAACATTTTAAAATTGAATCCTTAACCTTGTATCATGAATTATGATTTTTGGATAAAGTTCAAATTAAAAAAAATTAAAAATCTATTTGTATATGGTGATATTAGAAAGCTTGAAACTTTTCAAGAAATATTTCTGGAGTATTAGTCTTTCTTTCATGTATTCAGTTGCTGTTTAACTTGTACTATAGAATTTGGAGTTTAAGTAGGAGAGATCTTTCGGCTAAAGCATATCTCTATTGTGGTTATATGATTATTTTGGTCGGAGCCTCACTCTTGCTGCTCAGGAAATTTAATTTCTTAGTGCTCCTAGGTGTGATTTGATTCAGAGGACTGATTAATGCTAACCGTACTCACAAGAGACATAGTATAAATCAGAATGCTAATTTATAAATTTTTAAAGTAAGGCATCTTTTAAAAAAGAATAAGTTAGAAAAATTTATCAAAGTAATACATATACATGGTTAAAACAATCAAATGGTACCAAGACACATAATAAATTATTAAAAAACTGTCTCCTATTTTGTCAGCTTTTCTCTAGTAACAAACAACTGCAAAATTCCAGAATCTTACAATCTCAAACATTTATTTCTCACCCCTGTTACAGCTACAGGTGGGCTGCCATGGCCCTGCTCCAGCTCTGTTTCCCATGTCTTCTCATTTCAAGACCCAGACTTGAAAGAGCAGCCTCTGTTTGGACATGCCATTATCATATCAAAGAGAAAAGGGCAAGGGGTGGTAGACGCATGTAACATCTCTTAAAGTTTCTGTGGAACTGGCACATTATTGCTTCCACTCATATTCCATTGGCCCATATTCCAAGACATATAGCCAAGCCTGATGACGGGGCAGGAAATATTCCCCCCACAGGGAGGTACTACAAGGAATATGGCCAAAGACAGGGATACATTCATCTCTGGGATTGCTGTTCCTAGGGAGTTAGTTGGGAACAATCATACAGTCCACCACTGTATGTATTAAATATTATTATTTAAATGATATATGCAGATGATTTCTCAATTTATACATTTTAGATTTTGTGTAACAACTTCCTTTTATTATCAACAGAGTATTTAACATATAACATGGTCTCTCAGATCCTCCTTTTGCGTAGAGATCTCCCTCTAGGTTTCCCTTCTTCAGAGCCCTTTTGTCCTGTTGCTCCGATCTGGATTGATTCTCTCTAGTTCTGATGTGCAGTAGCCATCCTTAGGTTTCTCTTCATCGTTCTTCTGAGTTTGATCCACTGTTTATTAGAATGTATGCTTTCCTCTTTCTTGGTTTTATCCCTTACTTTGGTGGAGCATGTCCTCCATTAGCTTTTGAAAGGGTGTAAGAAATACATTTTCTGAATCCTTGCATGATTCTTGTTTTTTATTTCTGGAAGCTTATAGGACATTTTCTTTCTTCCAGTCTTCAAAATGTTACAAGTACCTTATCTCACAACTATCAACTCAGAATGGATCCTCACATAGCTAAATGTAAACGCTGAAACTTTAAAACTTCTAGGTAAAATGCAAGAAAAAATCTTTGTGACCTTATGTTAGGAAATGTTTCTTTTAGACACAAAAAAATGGACAATAAAAGAAAAACAAATTCATTAGACTTTTGAAATGTAAAACTTTTGCTTTCTGAAAGTCACCATTAAGAAAATGAAAAAGATATAGAATGGAAAAAATGATTTTCAATGCATATATCTGACAGAGAACTTGTATCTAGAACATACAAAGAATTCTTTCAACTCATAAGAGGACCATGAACTTATTTTTAAAAATTGGAAAAAGTTTTAAACACATACTTTACAAAATAAAATATATGAATGGCGTTAGACACAAGAAAAGATGCTCAGCATCATTAGTCATCAGGGAAATGAAAATTAAAACTACAATGAGATAGCAACCCACACCCATTAGAATGGCTACAATTAAGCAGACTGACAATACCAAATGTTTTGTCATAAGAATGTGGAGCTACAGGAAAGCTCACATGCTGAAACTGATAGGCAGTTTAAAAGTTAAACTTACACATTATGACTCAGCCATTCTACTCTGGGTATGTATTCAAGAGAAACAAAAACGTATTCCACAAAACCCCATAAATGTCCATCAGTGGGTCCATAGACAAAATGTGGTATATCCATACAATGAAATATTTCTCAGTAATAAAAAGGAATGAAATATTGATACATGTAACAAAATCAGTGAATTTTAGTCATTAAAAATCTGAGAGAATCCAGGCACCAAAGAATATATGTTACATGCTTCTGTTTATAATTGGAGAAGATACAAACTAACCTAAAGTGACAGAAAGTAAGTCTGTAGTTGCCTGTGGCAGAGGTGAAGGAAACATCACTTCATTGCAAAAGTGCATGAGGAAACTTCTGTGGGATGTAAATATTCTGTATCTTTATTGTGGCAGTGTGTCATAGGTATATGTCTATGCCCAAATCCATCAAATTGTACACATTGAATGGACTAATGCAGTTTACTATACTTAAATTATATGTCAATAGAGCTGATAAAGTGAAAAAATAATTGCATGCATATATGAATTTATTAACAGCATCTAGTAGAAATATAGTTATGAATTTATCATCTTAAATTCTCACTAGCTGTTAGAGGTTGTATTACAAGGAGAGTGGTGCATTTAATTTTTAATTGGTTCCATATAATTAATTCTAAAGCATTTCACTGTAATATAGATTTAGTAACTCTTTATATCCAAAATTATGTTTTGCATATAGATAATAATGTATAATATATATATTTCTCTAATTGTAAAAGTGTTGGGTTTATATGACAGTTATATATATAGGTCTTAGATAGGAATCTCTAAAGATAGAATTTGATCTGTATTCTCATATATTACAGGTACAACTTATGAAAAATTAAAAATATGCAGTAAACTAAAAATTTTTATGACATGACACAATTGGAGATTTAAACTGTGATATTTAGTATTAAAGAATTATTAATATTTTCTAGATATAATTGGGTTGTTACTTTTTAAAGTCCTTATCTTTTAGAAATACATACCTAAATAAATATAATTTCTGATATTTTCTTCATAATAATACTAGAGTGGGGAAGTGGGTGGGCACATAGGTAAAACAGGATTGGTTATGACTTGATAATTACTAAAACTGGATGATGGGCACAGGTACTTGGGGAGGGTGAAGGAGCTTATATTTTTCTGTTTAAATTTGTGTATGTTTGCAATATTCCACGATAAAAAGATGTATATATCTTCTAACATAGCAATTTCACTTCTAGGAATTTATCTTAAGGAACTTCTCAGGAGTATGAACAAATAATCCATGATAATGTTCAATGTAGTGTTGTTTATTAATTGGAAACAAATACTTAATAAGTTTTTAGTTTAAATAAATTAATACATTTGTATGATGTAATACCACATGGAATTCAAAATTATGTCAGAAAAATATGTAATAACGTGGGAAAATATTTGTGATATATTTTTAAGTAAAAAAAAATTACACACTTTAAAACGGGATGTTTATAAGACTCTGTTTAAATGATATAAAAAATAAATTATATTTGTGTGTAGGGTGTGTATGCATGTATGTAGAGTGAAACACTGGAAGGATATATTATTATAATTTATATCTTCATAATTTTCAGAAATACCTTTTTGGCAATAGAGTCTGTCTTTTTTTTAAATAAAAAGGGTTGAATATTTTTGCTTTAATATGTTGACTGTACAATGTGGTATAAAATTTCACTGTAAAATATTTTATTATGTTTTATTATTTGGTTATTTGATTTATTATTTGGTTATTATTTATTTTTGGTTGAACCTCAGTGGCTAGCATACTGCTTGGCACATAGTAAACTCTCAGAGTAGATTGTTTATTCAATGAATGAACATTAGGGTTGATATTTAAAAATTTTTTCTACTTTAAAATTTTCAGTCTTTTCCTTATTTTCTTTGAAGAACATATATAGTATTACTTTTTAAATCAGAAATTCACTATTCAAAAGTGAACAGTTTTGACAGGCTAAGGTTCTGCTCCTCTACTCGGAGATGTAACAAACCAAAATGTCCTTAAAATTACATATAAAATCTAAAATGTAGATATTTGTTCAGCATCTTTTTATTTTTCTTTCTTCTAGTTTCAGCTCTCCAACATCTTCAAATAAAGAAGTGGTTATGAACAATGGTAAGACTTGTAATTTCCCTTATGATTCCTTGGGGGGTGGAGGAAGGGTTCTGTCTGTGATGGGCTTCCCTGAACACCAGTACTGGCATCAGCAGTCTGATGTGAAAATCTCTGAAACTACAGTATTCTAAATTATGAGCCGAAAGAGACTTAAGCCTGTGCTTAGCATATTATTGTCACTCAATTACATTAATAAATATATGACACTTAGCCTTTGTACTCATATCATTTTATTTGACAGATCAGCAGAATAATGGAGGAATGAAACCAGTGCAGGATTTCACAATAGGAATCACACAGGTATGAACATGTTAGGAAACTAGATTGTATCATAAAAAAAAGTAAACACATTTCAATCAGGTCAGAGCCCCTGTGAAAATATAAGTAATAATTCTGTTAATAACTAACATTCTTGCTTGAACTTTAGGTGAGGAAATGTATTATGGTAATCTTATAGTTGAGAAAACACTAAAGTTTCACTTGCTGTCATATACAGTATTTTCATTACAATATTCAGTTTTACTTTTGTTCCTTTCCAGATAGGATCACTATAGCAACAGTTTATCTTTGGTTACTGGTAAACTTGGGTTGTTGCTGCCTGTTCAATTTCTCTTTTATCTCTATTTACACTGGAGTAATTGGTATGGAATAGTTGCTCTGGATAAGTGGATCTTCTTTCGGATAGAGACCTGCCTTTATGATCTCCAGAGTGACATACTGAAGTGCATTGTCTTGGGCTTCCTGGAAATCTGCAAAGGTTTCATAAGATGTAGAATAAGGTTAGAATACCTTGCTAGTTTATGTATATTAAATGACCTGGAACTACACTGTCCAAGAGAGTAGACACTAGCCACATGCTGCTATTTAAATTTAAATTCAAATTGGATAATGTTAAGTAAAATTAAAAATTAAGCTCTTCAATTGTACTGGCTACATTTCCAGTGTATAATAGCCAATATCAGAGGAAGTTCTGTTGGACATTAACGGTCTGGAGAATTACGCTTGATTTTCAGAAACCTCTTGTTTTCTTTGTTTAACATATTAATGAATTTATTTAAAGTTCTGAATTATTTGGGTTCTTATGATATTATTTTTTGAAAAGATTACCACCATTAGTTTCAAGGCATGGTGAATTTAAAAAAAAAATTAATAGACTTTTTTTTTTAGTAGTCTTAGGTTTACAGAAAAAACTGACCACAAGTACACAATATTCCCATATACCTCTCCAGTCTGCAGCCCCCACGCCTGCTAATTTCCCCTGTATTTAAAATCTTTCATTAGTGTGATGCATTTGTTAAAACTGATAATCCACTACGATACATTATTAACTAAAGTCCATAGTTTACATTAGCATTCATTCTTTGTGTCGCACATTTTATGGGTTTTAACAAATGTATAATGATATCTATCTACTATTACAGTATTATACAGACTAATAGTTTCATGGCCCTAACAATCTGGTGCACTCCACCTATTTATTCCCTCTTCCTCCCCCAGCACGGTGACTGGTGACTTTTTAAAGTCATTATTGCTAATATTATTACTTTCAAAGTTGGTTTTTGGTTTGTTTGTTTTTATAATTTGGTTCTTTACATTTTTGGTGCTTTGTGGAACTGGGTTCATGTGCCTTTCAGGTATACCTATCATTTTTAGGCTTGATAGGTCCACCCATCTTTTCCCCACAATAGCATGGACTCTGAAGCTAGCAGTTTCAACAGGTTTTGAATTGGCTTTTTTACTTCCAAGAAGCCTTTTGTACCATGGATACAAATTCGTATCTTAAATTTCATTTATTTGGTTAATTAGGCTAACTACAATCTGAGCAGACAAAGATTTAGAAAAAGAGCCTTGGTATGCATCCAGCCATCATAGCCCGGTTAATGTCTCCGTGGATGGAATTCCCTGCATTCTCTTTTGGGCCAAAAGAATAACAATTAAATTTAAGAATCAGACCTGGCTGGACCTTAGAGATGAAGCCATTGGCCACAAGGCAACAGTGGACGCTGGCAACTCAAATTGCAGTGAAGGAAGTGCCATGTAACTTGACTGCTTTGCTGGAGCAAGCCCTTAGGGCGAGTGTAGCCTGTTAACTGGGTGGTCCAGTTTTGTGTCATTTCGGAAAGTAGAAGTAGGCTCCTTTGTACATGACCCTGACATACATTTCTGAGGAAACGTCTAATGTCTAAAATGAAAGAACAAGTCAGAAATTAATTTTTTTAATTTCTTATTTTTTTCCCCAATAATTTTATTCTGAACGCTTTAGCTAATTGTTATAATACTTTGTGGAAGTTCAGGATTCTGAAAATGAAGTTTCCCAAACTCGTTCTGAAAAAGAGAAAGAATTCCAGGCTCTATGTCAACTCCAAATGTGAGGTGTCAAACTACTTTTGTCCCAGCAGGAAGGAAATTGCATATCGGTGAGCAGAGTCATACATATTCTAGTGGGTGAAACAAAGAAAGCTGACTCCATCTAGCCAGGGCAGATATTTGATTCTAGGAAGTGTTCTGAAGTTATGGAACATTGCCTGTTTGCAAATGTGCAAGGGTAACTTTGAATGGCCAAATTTCAGAGAATTCTTTAGGACATTTAAAAAATGATTAGAATAATTATTTTTGAGTTGAGATAAGCAGATTAAACAACTATCCCTATCGAAGAGGAAGTCAATTTCCAGTGCCTTTTTCTGCTTTTCAGCCATCCAAGCAGATATTTTTTGCTTGTATTTGTTTTGGTCCAGAGGGAGGAAGTCTGGCATGTCCCACTTGCTTTCTATAAAGCTCCTTGCTTTCAACATTTGTTGGCATAATGGAGGCTTTTGGAAGATTCTCTGCATTTGTTCTGGCCTGGTTTAGATGGGCAGAATGCTTTGTATAAACCATAACATGCTCCGTGTTTGTGTGTGTGTGTGTGTGTGTGTGTGTGTGTTTCTCTGTATTATTATTATATAGTTTGGTGGGAACACTTTTTTATTTCTGAACTTCTCATTTAAAAATTCTTGATGATGGGTAAAAAATGGATTATATTCATGTATACTTACAAGTTACATTACAAGTTTTAGTAAGTATGTTGCTATTCACAATGACTATCTCTTATCAGAGAGCTAGGGAATTGTAAGCAAAACCCAGAGTCCTCCCGGATTTGTTTATTCTGTTACAACATAACTATCAAAGAGACTCCAACATTGCTGAGAGCTCAGGACTGTTTCCTCAGCCTCTAATTAATTCCCTACAGTGCTCTTTATTTGTGGTCAGCTGTGGGGAGAGAGGCTGATTGCCTGGGGATAGTCTTGCCTGTCCATGGCTGACTGGCCCTCCTTGATTCCATTTATCCTGACCCCAGGGAATTTGTGGGGTAGATCAGGGCACCACAGCTTTTTGCTGGACTTTAGAAACCTTGATTATCACTGGGAACCTAGAGACAGAAAGAATTAAAACTTAGCTTCTAGGCCCAGTTCTGCCAGTGAGCTCTGTGGCTTTATAAACAGGAGCCACTCTAGGATCATCATGAGTGAGATGGAGATGGTGGCATCTATTACTAGCAGCTAACAGGACTGGAGCACTTGGAATTGGCCAGGCGCCTTGTGAGGACTTCACAGGTATGTTATCTGTTATTCCTCACAATGCTATTGCGAGTTAAGTCCCTGAGTCACAGGTACAGTTATCATCGGTGTTTCAGGTGAGGGTGAGCTTAGGAAACTTGTTAAGATCATACAGCCTGTATGGTAATAGAGCTGGGGTCTAAAACATCTTTAACAATGCCATTTTCCCTCCTCTCTCTTGGCCCTATCTCATTGCAGTGTGAAAATCAAATGAGGAAATGTATGCATGAGAACTTTGCCAAGTGCTACTCAAAGTATAAGATACTAATGACAACTAGAGTAAAATAGTGTCTAGTTACCTGGTAGAGAGGCCTAAGGAACCTTTGGTTTTCATAATACACAAGTTAATGATTTTTTTTTCTTTGTCACTGCCCAAGAATTCTAGTGGGTGAGTTCTGAGCGTGTATCATCCACCTTTTGGAGTCCTGCTCAGGTGAGTGTGCAGGCATCCTGGAGAGCCCTCCCAAGGGCATGATGGGGAGGCTTCCCAGGATGTGAGGCATTCAAGGACCAGCTGCTGAGACTGTCCCTGATTCCTGTGAATTGCATAGATTAGTGAGATGCCTTTGTTATGCTGGCAAGGAAATCTTATATTCAAGAACCAGAAAGGGAGTTGCGGAAAGAACAAACCCAAGCTAAGACATAACCATGTAAGGTCAAAAGCACAGATTAAAAAAAAAATGACCATATTTTAGTGCTTGGAAACAAAATGTTCAGGGAAAGGCAAATTGTTGGCAGACAGATTTGCTACAGAAGTCTTTTTAAATAGTGAAAGCCTTACAAACAGAGCATAATCCCAGCATCTGTGTGTATTTTGAATTGAGGCAATTAAAGTCTCAAGAATTCAGAATCTGTTTTAAACATGGGAGGGTAGGGCGCTTGGAAGAGTAAATGAAGCTCTTTTTTGAGTGACTCCCTAGGTTGTATTTCCCCTTTATGGTGCAGCATGTGGTGCAGTGCTTGGCACATAAAAAAATCTCACTGAATGATTGCTGAATTTGCTTTGTTGAAATTGGGCCTCATGTTCTTTACTCCACAGCAGAGCATGTTAACAGCTTTCATTGAAACCAGGACTGCTGGAGAAAGCTCTTGGGACATCAGAAGCATGGAGGCCATTGAGCTGCTCCACCAGAGATTCGGGTGGGCGCAACGTGGCTTTGCTTGGAGCTTCAGTTCATTAGCTGGAGAGCCAATTTGTGGGTAACTAAGCTATTCTGATTCCTTGGAAGAACTAGAGAACTTCTGTTAGAGTAAGTGACCAGTCAAATTTATAAAGTACAATCCAAGAAATGCACTTCATTTCTTTAAAGTATTTTCAGTAATTTGTAACAGATTATCAGAATATTGTTAGAGAAAAATCCTCTTGAAAACTTGCTTTACCGAGTAAATTAGCTTATAAAGTGTTTGTAAATGAGTGCTTCTAAGGTACCTAAGCTTATGATGTTAGGAAATAAAGATATTTCTTTTAGCGATCTTATTAATACGGTTAATTTTGTGAATACTCCTTCCCTTTCTCCATAAGTAGTAGGAAGATAAATGAGCTCAGTCACTGACATTTCTATTTCTTGATAAGTGGGACCAAATTGATGAAATTATATTTGTGTGATTTTTTTCAAATTTGTAATTGGACATTTTATAACCACCTACTTTGGCTTTTTTGTTTTTATAATGTATATTGAGGTGTTATAACTTCAAGACATTATAATGTCACATATCAGTGTCATCCTTTATATATTTAAATTTCTCACATTTTCCCATTTCAATTGTATTTAGCTTTTCATCATTCTTATTTTTCAACCTTTTTGAAATTTAAATGAAATATAATAAACTGCACATATTTCAGGTATACAATTTGGTCAGTTTTGACATACGTTTATACCTGTGAAACGATCATCACAAGCAAGACAGCAAACATTTTCATCACACTCAGAAGTTTCTTTGTGCCCCTTTGTAATCCGTCCCTCTGCCATTCCCACCTTTCTAGGTAACCACTGTTCTGCTTCCTATTGTTATAGATTAGTTTGCATTTTCTAGAATTTTATATAACTATAATCATATAGTGTACGCTCTTTTTTAGTTTAGCTTCCTTCACTTAGTATAATGATCTTGATATTCTTCTACATTATTGCATGTGTCAAAGGAGTATTTCTTTTTACTGATGAGTAGTAAGTATTCCTTTGATATAACACAACTTATTTATCTTGATGGAAATTTGTTTTTCCTCCAGTTTTTAGATAACTTTCCAAATAAAGTTGCTGTAAATATTCATGTACAAGTCTTTATAGGAGCATATATGTTCATTTCTCTTAGGTGAATACCTAGGAGTGGAATGGCTAGATCATATGGTATGTGTATGTTTAGCTTATTAAGAAACTGCCAAATGGTTTTTTAAAGTGGTTGTAGCGTTTACCTTTCTACCAGCGTTGTATGAGAGTTCCAGCTACTTCACATCCTTACCAACATTAGGTATGATCAGTGTGGGACTACAGAGAAAATATTATTATGTTTCTGTATGGTTAGCAATTTCTAAACAAATTTTGCTCGGACCTGGGTTAAAAGATAAGTCTTGGAGTTAGTAAGGGATGTACCTCCTCACAGGAATGTGATTACATGTCAAGGAGTAATGAAACTCAGCACCATTGACATATTCCAGGGCTTGGAAGCCCAGAGAAGCTTCTTATCGTCTCCTTGGAGACTTTATTTACCTACATGGGTATTAGACATGCACCCATTTGTTTCCTTTATGGTGAGCTGTTTGCTCCCATCCAAAGGCTATTAAAATTCATACACTTTTATTTTTCCAAGGAAAATTTCTGACACTAAAGAAGCAAATGTCTTTCTCCTTCTCTCAGGAGTTGAAGGAGGAACGACTGTCTCCTATTGAGCCCCCAGGTTCATAATTTTAGTGTTCCTTACCTGTGTTGTAAATCCCAGTATGTGTAGGATGGCATCTGGCTTTCAGCAGGGGAAGAATTTGGCTAAAAGGGGAACCAATGTGGTTATTGCTCTGGGTTAGTGATAATCTATCTCCCCTCCAGGAAATCTTGTGTTAATGTTCCAAATAATGTGAATAAATATAGATACTAAAAGCTTAAGAGTGTTGGGGTTTTTTTTTGAAAAAAGTTTTAACCATACCAATTACTGTACTACGGCATCATATTGTGGTTTCATTTTATATTTGCTTGATGACTAATGATATTGACATCTTTTTATGTACTTACTGGTTATTTGTATATCTTCCTTTGTGAAGTGCATGTCTTTTGAACACTTTAAAGTTGGGTTTTCTCCTTATTATTGAGTTGTTAGTGCTATTTGCTGTATTTTGGATACAAATTCTTTGTGTATATGTGTTGTGAATATTTTCTCCCATTCTGTGACTTGCCTTTTTCGTTTTCTTAACAGTATCTTTTGAAGAGCAAAAGTTTTAAAAATTTGATAAAGTGCAATTTATCAGTTTTTTATTTTATAGTTCATACTTTTACATTTTTTCAAGAAGCTGTTTCTTACCCCAAGATTGCACAAATGTTATTTTATTTTTCTTCTATGTGTTTTATAGTTTTAGTTGTTACATTTAGACCTGTGATCCATTTGGAGGTAATTTTTGAGTATAGTGTGGAGTAAGGGTTATTCCTATTTTGATGGTCTGTGTTTCTGTTTTCTAAGGTTGTCTCTGAAGTTTGGTGATGCTGAAAATCCCAGAGGTATTGATATAAGGTAGGTATGGATAGCACTTTGGAATGTCATAGGTTCAGCACTTCAGATTAGCTCCATATAATTTATTCATTCAACATGTAAGTATCAAGGGACTGCTGTGTGCCCAGTATTGTGACACATGAAATGCCACGTTTATCTAATTACACTGAAAAGTCAGTGATGTTATGATGGGATCCTATAGTAATACTTTCTTTAGTTTCTGCCAAAGCAACTATACTTTTTCCCTCTTCCTTTAGTGACCTAGAAAATACATGAACCTGAGAATGTGATACCTCTTTCCTCTGAGCAAAGAATAAAATATGTTAAAGCTCCAAAACTGAGGCTCTAGTTTGAAGTTATTTTCTGTATAGCTCCTTACAACTGAGTCACACTTACCATTTAACTGTAACTAAAAATTCTCTGTTAGCTGAATTCCCCAGCAGACAATCAACATAGGCCTGCATTTTTCTGTGTTTATGTATGGAATAATGCATCTGCCAACATTGGCTTATCCAAGCAGTTAGGAACTGCTCCAGGGGTGGGGAGCAGTTTGAAGGCATTAAACATTTTTTTCTTATAAAAATATAATGCTCCTTTCCTATAGGAGCAACCTTTTAGTGGAGATAAGCAGCCGTGTCTTTAACATTTCTTGAAAAACCAGAAGGATGTGCTAGGGCAGTCTTTCCTAAGCTGTGTTCTATGGAACACTTTTGCTCTGTGTAAATGTTTATCATATTTCCAGAAAAGGGGTCCTGTGGTCAAACGTGTTTTGAGAAAGACTGCACAGCGTGTCCTCTTGGAGATTCACGGTATAAATCTGTATGTTGAAGTTTCTGTGAAGACGCGCTCTTAAGGAAGATTGCTGCACTTGGTGACTTTGATTAACCTAGCATTTCCTGTCTTTTCTTTTTGTTGTTGATGGTTGTTCAGCAGTTAGTTGTGATTTTGGTGTTTTCGTAAGAGGAGATTAGCTCAAGTCCTTCTACTCTGCCGTCTTGTCTCCAGTCCCCCTTTCTTTCTTTTTTTGCCTCTAACCTAGCATTTCCTATGTTTAACCTTGGAAAGCTCTTTCCTCAACATGTGCCTACATATCATGGGATACGAGTGTTTCACTGGTCATAGTTTAGAACATGCATGCCATCATCTTTCAGAGACACTTTATAGAATCTCACAAGGTGACCAGACACATATACATATCTGTTTGATATAGGAATGGGGAATATTTTTGATTCAAATAGCACCTTTTAAAAATTTTTCCCTAGAGGAAAGTAGCTTTTTGATTATTATTTTTTCTGACGATAAAGCTATGTGGCTGATATTGTCAGTGTACCTTGTCTATATCCTGTTGGGCATTTCCATTTGAGAGCACTATAGTCCACCAGCTCAACTTTTTTTTAAAAAAATGATTTATTTATTTATTTAAAGATTTATTTATCATTTATTTATTTTATTTATTTTTGGCTGTGTCAGGTCTTAGTTGCAGCATGCGGGATCTTGCATTGCGGTGTGTGGGCTTCTCTCTAGTTGTGGAATGCAGGTTTTCTCTCTTTAGTTGTGGAGCACAGGTTCCAGGGTGCGTGGGCTCTGTAGTTTGTGGTACGCGGGCTGTAGTTGAGGCGTGTGAGTTCAGTAGTTGTGGCGCACAGGCTTAGTTGCTCCATGACTTGAGGGATCTTAGTTCCCTGACCAGGGATCAAACCTGCATCCCCTGCATTGGAAGGTAGATTCTTTACCACTGGACCCCCAGGGAAGTCCCCACCAGCTCAAGTTTCAACTGCCAGCCTTTCTTTGCCTAAAAGCTTTCTCTGGCCAAAGGGGCCCACTGCCTCCCATCTGTACCCCAGCAATGACTGAAAGAAGTCTGTAAATATCCTAGCTCCCTCACCCTCGGGTGAGATAACCCAGAGGTGTGTGTTCTTCGCTGTCTCCCAGGATTCCCTGTGGGCATTAAGCCCCTGTCGCTCATGGTGGAAGCTTGCTTACCTTTGTCCTTTGGGGCTGCCTTCCATTCCTCTGTCATTTCTCTTCTCTCTCTTCTACATACTTTTGTTTGTTTGTTTGTTTTTATTTGCAATACTTCATTTAAAAATTTTTTTAATTGAAGTATACTTCAACTATAGTTCATTTACAATGCTGTATAAGTTTTGTACAGCAAAGTGATTCAGTTATACACACACACATATATGTGTATGTATATATATATATTCTTTTTCATATTCTTTTCCATTATGGTTTATTTCAGGATACTGAATATAGTTCCCTGTGCTATACAGTAGGATCTTGTTGTTTATTTATTATATATATAGTAGTTTGTATCTGCTAATCCCAAACTCCTAATTTATCCCTCCCCACCCCTTCCCCTTTGGTAACCATAAGTTTGTTTTTTATGTCTGTTAAGTCTTTCTGTTTTGTATCAGTTTTTAGATTCCACATATAAGTGAGCATTTGTGGAGATGTGGATGGGCCTAGAGACTGTCATACAGAGTAAAGTAAGTCAGAAAGAGAAAAACAAATATCATATATTCACACATATATGTGGAATCTAGAAAAATGGTACAGATGAACCAGTTTGCAAGGCAGAAATAGAGACACGGATGTAGAGAACAAATGTATGGACACCAAGGGGGGAAAGAGGAGGGGTGGGATGAACTGGGAGATTGGGATTGACATATATACACCAATATGTATAAAATAGATAATTAATGAGAACCTGCCGTATAACACAGGGAATTCTACCTCACTTTGCTGTACAGTAGAAACTAACACAACATTGTAAAACAACTGTACCCCATTAAAGAAAAAAAGCAATAGAATACTACTCAGCCATAAAAAAGAATGAAATAATGTCATTTGCAGCAACATGGATGGACCGAGAGATTATCATACTAAGTGAAGTAAGTCAGAAAGAGAAAGACAGATGTCATATGATATTCTACATTTTTTGGATGACTAAATTCCCCAATAAATTTGGGATCACCTCCGCAAAATACTTGTATTCACATCCTTGTCTCAGGGTCTGCTTCTGTAGGAGCCCAAGCTAAGACAAGGTTATATATATATCTGTTGAAAACTGAAAGATTGGAAAATACTGAGCTATGAAAAGAAAATGAAAATCATTCATAATCCAACCACCATTGGTCATCACAATTAACATTTGTTTTTTCTATTTTTACTTTTTTTTATTGTGGTAAAAGTTACATAGCATAAAAGTTACCATTTTAAAGTGTTCACGTCTGTGGCACTTAGTACATTCACAATATTGTACAACCATCACCTCTGTGTAGTTCCAGAGCATTTTATCACTCCAAAAGGAAACTCCCTACCCCTTAGCAGTCGCTCCCCATTCCCCCTCCTAGCCCCTGGCAACCACCAGTCTGCTTTCTGTCTCTGGATTTGCCTGTTCTGGACATTTCATATAAATGGGATCATACAACATATGACCTTTTATGTCTGACTTTTCCAACGTATCCTTTTAAAAGAGCAACTTGGAAGGGCAGGAACAGAAGTAGGCACTGAGCTGTTCCATCCACTTCCCTCCCTCCTTCTCCTTGTTTAACAACAGGCACCCTGTGTGGTTGCCAGGGGCTCTCCTGGCCTGCTGGAGCACCCTTTGCCTGCATGTCCACCAGAGGGCCAGACATCCCCCAGGGCAGCCCTAACCAACAGGCGTTTCCAGATATCCCAGCAGGACAGAGCCAAAGTCGCCCTCCAGGGACCCTGCTGGATGCACGCCCTTACTTGTTCTCCCCTCCCTCCGCCTGTTTCACATCTTTCCTCTCCTGTCCTCCTGGGATTTTCTTAAAAAAATCACTTGCCCACAAATCCTTGCTCAGGCTCTGCTCCAGGAACCAGCACAGGTTTGAGAGGCCAGGGCAGAGGGTGTCATATCCCCCAGGCCCATGGGCATGCCATTCCTGCCCTCAAGTGGGCCAAGAGACACAGAACCAAAGACCCTGTGGGCTGGACAACTGTTTGGCAAAACGACCCGGTGTTTTCACCAGGAAGGATTTTTTCGAGCAGTTCCGTTGGTGCATTAATGTTCCCACCGCACTGAGGCTGTGTCAGAACAGCCTCAATCTCAGGCCATTATCTGAAACAGGGCTGCAAACAATGTGGGGGGCTCCACCCCAGCCCTGAGCACAACAGAAGTCACTTCCAGGGAATCCAGAGCCAGCCTGCCCTTTCTGGGAATGGCTTGTCTGTCCCATTGCCCTCTGGAACAGCTGACTCCAGAGTCCAGATCTGAGACATCCACCACCTCCATCCTTCTGGCCTTCAGCGTTCTCGGTGGGTTGTTGCAGTGGGCGGGGATGGCCAGACTCAATTGCATCCCTCAAAAAACCTTTCTGTATCTGAGTCAGGAGCCCAGGGTGAGCAGGGGCTGTCCCGGATAACAACGAATGTTTTATAACACCAGGCCAGCACAGAGCATTCTATTTAAACAAGCACAACCTATTTTACAGATGAGGAAAGCAAGGCCCAGTTGGGTTGTTTAACAACACTTACCATACCACTAATAAGAGCTGTATTTCTGAGAACTCTTTTGGCTGCATAAAGTCAAAAGGTAACTGATTAATAGGATTGAAAGTGTTAGCTTCAGACACTTAACTTACCTCACCAGGGCAGCATCTTTTTCCATCTCTTGGCTCTGCTGTCCTTGTGTCAGTTTCATTCTCAGGCTGGAAAGATGGTGGCCAGCTGACAGTTATCCACTTAAGCAACATAAAAGAACTCTGTTGCTTGATAGCTATAGCACAGCTTACATCTTATTGACCCAGCCTGGGGCATATGCCTCTCTCTAAACCGATCACAGTGATTAAAGGGCCACCATACACTGATTGGCAGGGTCCGGGAGACCACTGAGAGGGGAGAGGGTCAGCCCTATACACACCAAGATGCTGTTCCCAGAAGGAGCAGGAACATAACCTACAGGTGGGCAGAGCCAGGATCAAAACCCAAGCTTTCACCCTGAGCTATACTGATCTCAGCTGCTTTCTTTTTCTTTTTTCCATTTAAAAAGATTGAAATATAGTTGATTTACAATGTTGTTAGTTTCAGGTGTATAACAAAGTGCGTAAACATATTAACATTTTGATCTCTGTCTTTCCAGAATTTTTTTCTATGCAGTCACACATTTTTAATGAAAAACGTGATCATGACATATGCATGTTATAACTTTTTTATTGCTAGAGAATATTCCATTCCAAAATGGCTAAGAGTAAGGGCTCTGATCTCAGATGGGATTCTAAGCCCAGCTTCAGTGCTTACTCTCTGAGTAAACTTGCACAAGTTAGTTACTTAACCCCTTTGTGTCTTAGATTCCTCATCTGCAAAATGAGGATAATAATATTCTCTATCTCATGGTGTTGTAGTGAAGATTAAATAAACTATTCATAAAGGATTTAGAGAGATGCTTGACACATAGTAAGAGCTATTTTATTTTTGACCATTATTTATTTAACTACTTCTATATTATTGTCCATTTAGTTTTTCTCAATTCTTTTGCAATAATAAAATTTTTTTAATTTTAAAAAAGAAAAAATACCCAAGCTTTTTGTGTTTTTCCTTTTGTAGGAATTTGTATTGCTCACTTTGGGGCGTTCTCCTGTTACTTGCTTTCATTCCCACCCATCAGGAGGCTCTTGTTCAGAACTAGAAAGTAAAAGCCTCTCTCTGAGCCAGTTCTACTACCTGACAAAAGAGGGCGCAGTTGTACTGTTCGTCAACAGTGTCCTGCATCAGCAAATGTAAAAGTGCTTTGGGGGTAACTGTTTTATAATCATTGTCAGATTCACCCTTACCAGTTACAACAAATTGTCCATCCAGAGCTGGTTTAATTTGCACCAAGTCGAGGTTATTTTCAATAATTCAATTCCAGCAACTTTTAATGCAACTGGCATGTTTGCTCTGTCAAGTTACTCCTACCACTGCCAACGCGTCAGCAGCCTGCAGCGGTATGATGCCCTTTTGTTGCCCAGTGACACCAATGATATGTCAAGCCTGTGGGAGGTCACTTTTGTTGATTTCCAGGTAATAAACTAAAGCATATGCTCAATGCACCAGTGTGTTTGGTGCCAAAGAAATTCTGTTTGTTTGAAAACATAGATGTTTAAGGAAAAGAGAGGAGTATATATCTTTAAAATTATATTGGTATGAATTATGTTCCTTATCTTCTAAGGTATGAAATAGAATAGGATCAAGTATTTCCTCTTCCTGCACAGTGATCCCCCCTGCCCCCCACAAGGACTTTCTTTTATATAAAGGTTTATCCAGTCACTAATAATTATCAGTGAGGAATGCCAGCAATGTAAGCCAGAGTGAAGCTGTGGCATGAGCCCAGTGACTGACACTTCCTGGAGCAAGAGGCCCTTCTGGGGAGAGGAATTGTCGGACAATTATTTTATTTCCTTCAGGGAGAGGAGCAGTGATCCTATCAGGGCAGATAAGAAGTACATCTGAAGTGTGAGTGACAGCTTTGGCATTTAGCATAGGAATGAAACTGTCAGCCAGGGAGTCAAAAATATCCTAAAGATCCTCTTGAAAGTATTTGGGGAAAGGCATAGAGGCATAAGAAGTTCCTTTTCACCAACAGAATCTCGGGCTGAGAGACATCTGTCAACTTCCTCTGACCTGTTTACCTGTGAAAAAAGCTTAACTTGTTCTTCCAACTCCCTGAAATAGGCAGGGTTTTACATGTGCCTTTTATAGGTTCTTCCCAATCTTTTCCATATATAAATATATATTTATTCCCCTTCCCCCCAGGTTGGAGAAGTGTGGTGAGGTAGTTTGGGGTAGGGAAGGAGTTTGCATTTTGGAGTTCGAAAGACATGGTTTTGAATTACTTCTCAGCCACTTGGGCAAGTTACTCCACCCTCTCGATTTCTGACCTATCTTTATGGATGTAAAGAATTCATGGCCTAATATATATGTGGCAACACCCAGGACCGTGTTAGGCATGGATTAACAATAACTAATACTTATGAGTCCTCTTTGTGTGTTGGCACTGTTGTAGTTATTTTACATATTTTGTCTTTGAAACTTATCATAATGCTGCAAGATAGCTGTTATTATCCCTGTTTTACAAATGAGATGACTGAAACTCTGATTACATAATTGTTCAAAGTGATATAATTGGTAACTGGTAGAAGCAGAATTTGAATTGTGGACTGGCTCCAAAGACAATTTATAATACATGTAATATATATATCTATTTATATAATATTTATAAAGTATATATTGTATCTATTTCTCTCACACTTTTAAAAGAGAAGTAGGTGGAAAGGGAAATGAGGAGGTAATAATGAAAACAAGGAATAATTCACACATAATCTTGCCTAACAGATGAATTGACTGATTTATATCTCTACCTTGTTCCAGAAATGACTTACAATGACTTATAGAAATACTTGAAGAAAAATAACTTTGAAAAATGGGCAAACCACTTCACACCCATTAAGTTGATTATTATAAAAAAAAAAAAATCCCCCAAACTGAAAATAACAGCTATTGCAAGGATGTGGAGAAATTAGAACCCTTGTACATTGCTGGTGGAAATGTAAAATGGTGCAGCCACTATGGAAAACCGTATGGTGGTTCCTCAAAAAATTAAACATAGAATTACCATGTGATTCAATAATTCCACTTCCGATTATATACCTAAAAGAATTGAAAACAGAGACATGAACAGATATTTGTGCATCCATGTTCATAGCAGCGTTATTGACAGCAGCCAAAAGATGGACATAACCCAAATGTCTATCAGTGGATGACTGAAAAACAAAATCTATCATATACATACAATGAAATATTATTTAGCCTTAGAAAGGAAGGAAATTCAGATAAATGCAACAGCAGGAATGAACCTTGAGGGTATTATGCCAAGTGAAATAAACCAGACACAAAAGGACAAATATTTGTATGATTCTACTTATGAGGTACTAGAGTAGTCACATTTGAAGACAGAAAGTAGAATGGCAGTTGCTAGGGGGTGGGGGAAGAGGGGACTGGAGAGTTAGTGTTTAATTGGTACAGAGTGTCAGTTTTGCAAGATGAAAAGAGTTTTGGAGATGGATGGTGGTGATGGTTGCACAATGATGTGAATGTACTTGATGCCTCTGAACCATACACCTAAAAATGGTTAAGATGGTAGATTTTATGTGTATTTTACAATAAAAAGTATAAACCAAAAAATGGGAAGACATGGGATTAAGGAAAACAAAAGGAAGAAAAAATCAGCTAAACCACTAGTGAAGCTGGTACACAAAACCATGAGACCATCTGTCTGCCCTGGCTGGAAGCAGCACAGTAATTTCGCTCTGAAGCTCTTGAGCAGCCAGCATGAGAAAGAATCACCCTTCACGTGTTCATGGGGTTCATAAGACTACTGAGAATGTGCTTGTGAGGAGCACATTCATCCCTGGTGTTGTGCAGTGCGTGACAGCATCCTCAGCAGCAGCCTCATGGGGGACAGAGCACTGGGCGTCAGAGGTGGACCTTGTAAAACACTCTTCATGTGGCGAGATGCAGAAGCAAGCCCAGTCCAGGGAAGAGGTAGTGCTGGTGGTGCTGGAGGTTAAGGTATGCATACAAAAGGCTGCGTTCCACATCTACAGCTTTGCTGATCTATCTGGTTTATTCTAGGAATAAAGTACAGAGTGATGTCACATGCATGGCAAACTCAGGTGCCTCAGGTGAAAGCTCACATGCCTCAGGTGGGCCAGCTGGGGACTTCGGCAAAATGTAGCCGGCATCACAAGAGGTATATTTTTTAAAACTTCAGCTAATTTTTGCTTTGTAGGAATGCAGGCCCAATCTTGCTGGATCTTCTGACTTTTCAATTAAAGATAGAAATGTAGATTCCTGGGGGAGGTTTTCAGGATGTTCAGAACTCTGGGCCAAACAAAACTTACCTGTGGGCTGGATACAGAGTGTTTACAATCTCTAGTCCAGAACATGGATAGACAATGTGTCCCTCAGGCATCCTCCACAGATATTGTTCTCAGTCAAGTCTTAAGAGGTAAGTGGCAGTCAGCGTGAGGACATTCTCTTTGGCTGGAGTTGTAGCATCAAATGAGGCCATCTTTTGTCATTGAGGAGCTTGACTCTTCAGGCTAGTGCCTGAAGAGAAGGCCACTTTGCCTCTTCATAGAGTGGGCAGGCCAAGTATCCTAAAAGCCAGGCCAAGAGTCTCCTTCAGCAGTTGTTTTGGTTCAGTCTAAGCACAGGTAGTTGGGCAAGCAAGGCCCCTAATGTCTACGGTATGATGGGTGGCTACAATCATTTTAGCATGGAAACATGGTAAAGTGTCCACCTAAGTCTTAAAAATGGATCCTCAGTAAAGCATTCATGGATAATTCAGTTTTCTGATGTACCCTTTTAAAACAAACTAGGTGACTGAATGAGTTGTAGGGTTATATTCTAAAAGCTAGCTGAATGTGGAAGCTGCCTTCTACAAATGATTGTTCTCATTTAGAATCATTACTCTGTAGACTCTGTAGCCCCTGTTTCTTTATTGTGATAGTATTTAGATAACGGGGCCAGTTGTCGATTTGAACCTCTCCTAGTTCCAAGTAATTAAATCACTTCATTGCACATATGAGAAAGCTTTTCTTTCAATTCTCTGAGCAGACTGCAAGTGGTATACAGGTCTTCCAAAAACAGTACCAAGTCTGCATGGTACATCTGATAAAGAAGGAGAGTTAGTGATGGGGGGAAAAAAAGACACAATATACCAGGAGTTACGGAGTTGTAAACTGAGAAGTGCCTCTGAAACCAGACTGCTAAGGTTTGAATTACAGCTTCATTGTACTTAATACTGTGTGACTCTGGGCAAGTTACTTAACTTTTCAGTGCCTGTTTCCTCATCCATAAATTAGGATAAAATAGTAACTTATTCATAGGCTCTTGTAAGTATTAAATGAGTTAAGGCAGTGTCTGGTATGTAAAAAAAAAATCTTCAATAAGTGTTAGCTTTTATTATCTATATTTTACGTCACTGGGAATCATATCTTCCCTTAAAAGACTCTTCCTATCTACTTTCTGTCAACAGAATCAAAGGCAGAGAAAGTGAGAATTACTATTCTTAGCGAAATTTATATTAACACATAAAATTTTGAGTAGGCTTTGAATTTTAGAGACAACAGACGTGGTTTTAGGTGAACTAAGGATCAGATAAAAGAGGTTTTATTTCAGAGCCTTGAATTTCTCTGGCCACTTAATTATGACAACCATATATCCCAGAGTTTCTGGGTCAGTCTTGATTTAAAATTAAGTTTCACTGTCCCCAAGAGCATACTCACATTTGTTAGATAATGTGTTTAAATTATTCAGCAAGTATGGCCTCAGTATTTAAATTTGACTGATTAGGGCTCTAGAACCCCTAGCCCAACTGTGAAGCAGATTTTCAGAGGAAAGAGTATGTCACTTCAGCTCTTTTCTCTTGACAGATCCAAGGCTTTACCATTAAGGGGGGGGGCAGTTTTCCAAGGCCCGAGACTGCACCTCTTCCTTCTCACCAGCCATTCCAATCAGCCTGGCAATGTCCCTGATCCTGCCCTGCACATGCTCATCTACCTGTGCTATCTGGACTGGCACTATGATTTCATCGCCTCTCCGGCTCACTTCTGCCAGTTGAAAGCTCGAGATGCATCAGAAGAGAAGGAGCTGCTGAGGAGCCAGGGAGTCGAATGCTATGAACTGAGAAGCCAACAGATCTGCAAAATTTATGTTTAACAGCACAGGTCCCTCTTCCTCAGGAAGTCCACGATAGGCTCTGAAAGGAGGTGTTCCTGTTGTGTGCTGTTTGACTTGTGATATAAGATTTTCACCAAAAGGCTTGATTTTCTTTTTTTAAAGGAAATACATGCAAAGAATACATTTTGGAACATCCACTGGCCTTCTTAGATAGACTTGGAGCAATGATAAAGGTATCTCAGGAATCCCACGGAGATAAATATGATTGCTGCCCCAAGGTGTCTTGAAAGTAAAAGAATATTTCAAGTTAGGGACCCCCCCCCCAAAAAAAAGAATGATACAATATAAAGAAGAGAAAACACACTTGGTCTTCCTTGCCTTTGTCAGTTTGGATGTGATAAATATAGAAATGATAAATATAAGGTTATCTGGAAGTTCAGAATTTAAAGTATTTTGTAACATAGTTTGCATTTCTCAGAAGTTATATCCCAATTTTGTTTTAAAAAATAGTCTTTTTTTTCTCTGTCACAGAACTGTTGAGGGAAGACTCCTGTCAATATGGTGGAACACTTTATTCAAGGGCATTCTTGTCTTTTTCTTTGCTATTCAGAGGTAGCCCAGTTCAGTTTCTGAAGGAGCAATAATAGTCTTGGCAGTATCTTACCTTTCTTATTTCATTGTGGTGCCAAGACTTGCCTCGTGCGTCTGATTTAGACTTCCATCAGCTCTCCTAGGTACCACTTAAAATAAACAACTAAGCTAAATAAAAACAATTTGCTTACTATGCAAATACATCTCCAAGTCCCCTTCCAGTGAGATAGCATTCCCTAAAGAAATTCTGGAACCACCACTCATCTTCTTATAACCATTTTCTTTCACATGGATTTCCCCATAATCCTTTTCAGTTCTTGGCAGATACTGAAGAATGGCTCACTCTGCATCCTCACCAAAGCTTCTCTAGTATGCCTTCTGTGTTAAAGAGATCTTATGTGTAAAAACTACATTGCATTTCCCTAACTAGGGTTTCACACATGAGCTAGGTTCTACTAAGATACCCTGCACAAAACCTCGAAAGCAGTTGAGAACAATGCAAGATAGGGGGTCCTGCACAGAGAAATTGGATCCTCTGGGCAGCTGTGGTGATGGGTCTATAGTCTAGTCTCATCTTTGATGCCAAGTGTGACTGGTCATGACTGTGGGATTTCTGATAAAACAGTCTCATGTTGGACATTTCTTTTGGCTGCAGTATTCTTGGCTGTGAATGTAGATTTGGTTGCAGCCCTCTCAGAATTCTGTAAGCTCCTATTAGTCTGTAGTGAATTCCTTTCTGTTTTTTTTAATTGAAGTGTATTTGATTTACATCCTTTCTGTTTTAATACCTGGAGTAGATTCTGTAGCCTGCAACTAAGAATCTTAATTTATGTACTTATTTGTACCAAAGATGGTTGCAGGGAGCACACCCTCAAGAAAATGGGAATCTAGGATTGATTATCTGACTCTGTTTAGCTTAAAATTATAGGGGACTTTGTTAGCATTAGAGGATGGAAACTGAGAGCCCATGCCATTCCATAAAGAAATTTTCATTGTGGTTGCTTTGAGTGTCCACTGGGGTTGCTGTGAGAGGCTGTAAGTACATGAAGGGTCAACATAATTTACTGTTCAAGCTGGGACACTTCTGAAAGTAAAAGTGAATGTCATTGACCATTCTAAGATAACAGACATAAACGGGATGGCTCCAGGCAAACTGGGGTATATAGTCACCTTAGGTATGGTGGTAATCCTGTAAGGTAGGCTAGCTCTTTCTAGCTGTGCTGGAGGGTTTACAGAAAGAAAATGATAGCCCGGGATTTTAAATTCACAGCTCAAGGCATGGTTAAAAAAAATCCAGGGAGTTTCTATAACTGATCTGCAAGGATCTCTTACCTCTTGTCAAAGGGCTGACATAGTTGGAAATCAGACACAGGTCTGATCCTGCAAATTGGTAAACTGCATTACATGTGGAATTCACAGCCTTACCAGGTCTCCTACATATACAAGAGAACATTTGTTTCAAAATAGAAGGAGACTGAAATAGGAATGGTAACTGTTGGGAGAATTTAGACAACTTAAGGTATATTGAATCCCAAACTCCATTAAGTTTTTCTTGCTAGCAGAATCATCCTCTCTGAGATAAAATGATTCTTGCCTTGCTTGAAGGTCCTGTGATGACCTCATCAGAGACAGTTACCTTGCCCATTTTCCTCAATGCCTCTAGACAATTAGTGTCATATTCTAGCATATTCCAGGGAACCAATTGCAAAGTTAAATATGGGAGAATAAAATTGAAAGGTTTTGCTAATTTATGCAGCATAAGACTTGGGGAATATATTTGTGAATGGATTCTGGAGGTGCTAGCTCAGAGAGTGAGGTGTATAATTTTAGATCAGGCTGAATCTTTTGAGATAGGTTCTCTTACCAGATTTTGGATTAATTGTGGTGGTTTGAGCAGCTGGGAGTATTTCTAACAGTTTTCTCAGTTGGTTGCTTACAGTCTGAAACTCAACAGTGACAGACACAAAATAAAATAGGCCAGAAATTTCTTGGTATACTATGGAGAAAAAAAAATTTAAACTTAGAAAATTGGGATATAGGAATGGATTTATCATGTATAACCTGTTCTCCATCCTTATAACTATTTTCCTCTGTGAAGGACCAGAGGATACTCCTTTTGTCATAGCACTGAGAAACACATTGGGAACATGGTATCAGCATTTTTGAAAAGTGTTCCAGTAACTGTCCTCTGTAGTCTATGGGTGAAGGTAAGAGGTGCTATCCTTGAACTAAGGATTCCACTTAGTCTCATAGGGAAGCTGGGATCCTGGAGTGGCCGGGGTCAAATAGCAGCAGAGCAGCCTTAAGGGGCTGAAGGGTAGAGTGTTAATCAGATTAGTTATGTTTATTAATGGTATTCTATGGTAGATTTGGCTAGACAGTCCATTGGAATACTTATTTATCTTAATAATAATAATAAATGATCTAGTTCTGGTGTAAAAAAGACCTTACTTGAGCCATCATGGTGGACTCGGAGCTGAGTCTGTTCATGACTTAAGAAGAGAGCCCTTGACTGAAGAAGAGACCTATTAAAAGAAGGTCTTTGGTCTTCGTATCTAATGTTGAATATTATCATGAACAATTGTATGTTTGTCCATCAGGTATCTGTATTTTTGTATCACTTCTGGTATGTTCTGACTTTTAGGTAAAAAACTGACACTATTCCAATGGGTACTTTTATTATTAACCTAGTATATATGTGATTATTGTCCTATAATTGTTAGTGATGCAGGAGCACAGCCTAAGAGATGTCTGTCTTCCTGGGAGGTCTGGAAAAATATGGCAAAGAAAGTGATGTTTGACATGAGTAGCAGTTAACCAGACAGGTAACATGGAAAAGGACAGATATGGCAGAAGGAAACACATATGCAAAGATTGGACCTTATCATGTGCAGGGAACATGATAAATACATGTATATGGGTTGGCACATACAATGTATTTGGAGAGTGAAAGAGAGATGCAGCTGGAAATGGAGAGAGGAAACAGATCACTGTGCTCAAGTAAAGACTTAGAATCATGACTTGAGTTAATGGAGAGGCCATTGAGAGGATTTTGGAGGATTCAGAGGTTGGTTCAATAAGACATAGTGACCAGGTGGCAAGTCACAAATGACTGGTAGATAACTTATTTTGGGTGCTGGTGGAAGGTGATGCCGATCTCTGCAATCAGGGAGAAACAGGTGAGGGTGGGAGTGGGAAATGGAAGATTCCTGTAGGCAGGTCCTGTAGTAGAGGTCCAACTAGGTGGTTGAATGTATGGATATGGGGTACAATGAAGAGGTCTGGACTAGAAATAGAAATTTGGAAATGTAGTAGCAGCTGTCAGAGTCCACCTTTGCACCTTACCATTTCAGTGCATCTTGGCCCATCTCTCCTTCTTCAGTAACTGCCCTCAGAGGCTGCTCTGCCTGTGTTCATGGCAGGCTGGAAGTGCTGAGGAATTAATGTCCCCTGGGAGTAACCTTCATATAATGACTCTCAGGAGTTGTGTATAAATACCCCAGCTCATTTTCCCCTCGACTGGAATAACTAGAGTGTTTACACCATTTCCTGGAGCTCCTCAAAGACTATGCTCTTTTGCCCATTGGGGCATCTTTGCTTGATAATGTTCATTTTATTAACTCCCTTCTTTGTCCTGTCTTATTTCCTGCTCCCCTAATGATGTTTCCTGGCATCACCTCCAAAATAAACTGCTTGCATTCAAATCCTTGTCTTGGGATCTGCTTCTCAGGAAACCCAAACTAAGACAAGCAGTAGTGGTCATAGGGGGAAGGTTGAAAACAAGGTTGTAGTGGTGATGGAGAAATGAACGAGATCAGCCAAGGAGAAAGGGTAGTTTGATAATGGATCTCTGGGGAATGCCATTATTTACGGAGTAGGATGAGAAAGAGAACTCTGTAAAGGAGCTAGAGTAGGAGCAATCGGAGAAGAAAGGCAAACCAAGAGAAGGACATTGTCTTAGAAATTAAAGGGAAAAAGGCTTTCAGGATGAGGGGAGTAGTCAGTTACGTCAAATTCTGGAGACAGATCAAGTAGGAAAAGAACTTAAGAAGTGTTTATTCCTTGGATTGATCAAAAGGAGGTCATTGATGAACATCAAACTTCATGGAAAAAGAGAGATTAGAGATACTCTGGGTATTTATTGCCCCAGTTTTCTCCTGGAGGGAATACCTTGGACTGGTTGTATCCCTTCTCTGAAGAGCACTGCCTCTTTTAACATGGCCTCCTACACGTGACTCTCTCCTGGCTTTCAGTAATTTCTTATTCCCTTGTCTCTTTGAACTCAGAGGTGATAACAACGCCATTGATAGTAGCCCCAGGTTACTGCATTGTCGCTTATGGATCTCCTGTACCCTACTGGGACCTGCGTAATGGTTTCTTTGTAAATAAACCCTCCTTAAATTATCCTATTTTGAGGGTGCCTGCTTCCTGTTGGGAATCAGACTTGTACAGAGGTTTAGAAAAATTAAAATTTATTTGTTGCAATTTTTTATAGCTAGCAGTTTTTCAGAAAGAATTTAAAACATTTTAGTAAGATAGAAGAAACTTGAGTTATGTTGTAGGGTAAGTTAGCAGTTCTGAGGTTGTGGTGGATTTTTTTTGGCCTCCTGTGACATTATGAACGATGATGTTCACATGTGTAATACTCTCCCATAAACATGCCCATATGTTGTTACTCTGTGCACCAATTTTCAGGGCCCTATAGCCTGGTAGTCTTCTGAGATCCCTGCTGCATAATGGTCCATGGGTAACAGAAATAGGTAGCTACAGGCTACAGACAATTCCCAGGTAACAAACTGAGGCTTTCTTACTTAAAAAAGCATATTGGAATGTGAGAGTGTGTTATTATAGGGCAGCCCTTGACTATTCTCTGATTTATGCAGATAGTATAAACAATCATTGCCAACAAGTTGTATGGGCATCCCATAAAGTTGATTACCTCTATAGTTGGGAACCCCTGGACTGGAAGGAAGGATATAGAGTCCAGGGTGTAGAGAAAGGTTAAAAATATATACTCCAGAGAGGGGAGAAAATTGGTGGAACAAGGTCCTCTGTGTTATAGATTTTCTTCTGGGGATGGGGTGGAGAAGGTACTTGTGCTTCTTCAGTGGAGACACATAGAAGGAACAGCCTTCCAGGGAGAATACTGAACAGCTGTCCCTTCTGTCTCTATCCCTGCTCGTGGTTTTCATGACCTCACCTTTAAGAGTTAGACGGTAATGAAATGAACAGATCCAGTTTTCCTGTAACTCTTAGGGACAATCTGTCTTTATTTCAGATTCCTCTCTTTATGGTAGAACTTGCAATGTTTGCTATATGATACTTTCAGTTACTGAGATGAGATCAACAACATTTTATAAGGACCGAAAGAGCAAAACCTCTAGTTCCAAATAAATGGAATTTAAAATGTGGTTTGGACCTTCTGATATTTTATGAAGGAAAAATAGGACAAATGTTGGTAGTCAAATTTAGTTGTTCTAATGTTTATTATTTTGTAACACATGTAACCCTGATGGTGGCCACCTGGATGTCCCCAAACCCTCTGGAATCATCCTTTAGTTTACTCCCCTAATAGAGTGGCTTGAGTCTCCTTAATATGAGAAATAAGTCTGTTCCCCAAGATAGCTGGGAATTCAGCAGGAAGGTGGATTCGTGGCATGAGCAGTAGTGACTTGTATTCTTGTTGTTTCTTCTAGTTCTGATTTCTTGCCTCTTTTGATTTTCAGACACCCCCTCGGTGGCCTCACCTTCTCCCATTGCTCTCAGTTCCTGGAGCTGCTGTCTGACATTGACACGAGTGTCACAGACTTTTGCTGAAAGTTAGAGAATAATATATGGTGTAGCTCTTAAGGAAAAGAGCCTTTCTGCCTCTTCAGAATTCTTTCTTTTTAATCTACCTGGATTAAACTGCAGTCAGGTTTAAAATAACATCTCTTCATCTATTGACCCATCACTCTCTCTCTTTCCTTTATCCATCCATCTGGTACATATGTAAGATGAATGTGGTTTTACAATGTTAAAAAAACTTGAAAGATGTTTAAAAAGTCTATATGTTTAGGCTGTAAAAGATGCATACTAGCTCTTCAAAAGTTATCACAGAAAAGCTTAGGAAATATGAAACAAAGAAATTTTTGTGTTCTTAGTAAAATACTTAACTGTAGAATGCATATTATCACAGTTTTTAAGAAGCTAAATTTTATTTCCAACCCTATTACAGTGATAAAGTGTTCATTTTTATCCAGCAATGGCATTCTGAGCAAAGCTCATCTTTGGCCTTAAGAGTTTGTTGTCACATTTATGTGAGGCATTGGATTTAGAAACCTACTCAGTAGTCTCAGTTCTTCTCCTTAAACAAGGCATACTCTTGTTCCTACTTCAATGAATCATTTCAGTGAGTTCTGAAAATCTCTTTATGTGTTACAAATTTTTCTGCTTTTTGGAGGATCCAAGGTCCAGGAGATTATGCTTGTGGAGATTTGGATTAAATGTTCTAACCTTGATTAGTCTTTCCCCCCTTTCTGCAGCTCCTGTGCCCTCGATTCCATCCCACTTCTTGTTGAGGATGTGCATGTTCCCAAGACTGAGCCTGATTTTCCATTACAGCCCCTTCTTACAGTGATGTTTTCCTTAATGCAGACTGAAATGAGTTCACTTCATGTTTAAATGCCTTGTGGTTAGAACTCAGGACTTGCCAGCCTCCTCCATTTGTTTGCAGTTTGCGTCTATTTCACCCTGCAGCTGCAAAAGGGTTTTCTGATTTGGTTTCAGGGAGATCAATTCTGAACTGACCTCGAGTGCAGGAAAACCTCTGCAGGGACAGATGCAGATTTTGAAGCACTATTTAGAAGACCCTCTTTAGGAAAATGAATATAAAATTATAACTATAAATTAGGCATAAAGCTGATTATCTATTTAGAGAAAACAATAACAAAAATTTTAAGAGTTGACTGAGTTTGAAATAGTTTATTTTTACAACTTTTTCAAAAACATACTTTCATGAGAATGTAATGCTAAGGACCCTTCTAGGGCCATGGAAGAGACCTGTATAAATTGTGTGTGTGTGTATGGGGTTTTTACAGAGATTTGACATTATACACAACTGTGGATGCTGGTTAAATAGTCTCTCTGGGCCTGTTGTATTCATATCACATGCTAAAGCTTGAAGTCTGCATAGCAAACAATTGGGAAGGGAAGATGGATGTAAAGTGGGGGAGAGCAAGGACAAGCTAGAATCCACAAAGAGGAGCCAGGATCATGAGAATGAACTGGGACCTGTGTCAGTTTTCACTGCCTTCATCTTTATAAAATAGTGCCCTTTTTTACAGAGCTAAACAAATGTCTCAGGAAGATGTTGAAGGAGGATCCCAGGAGAAGGTGGAGCAGCTGCAGGCCTGGGTGCTGCCCTGTGGCCAACAAGGTAAACCAGCAGATCAATGATAATGTGCTTGAGCTAAAAATGTACCTGACTCCACCTTTTGAAGGTTAAATATAATATGGCTGCTGCTTCACTTCCACCTTCTAAATCTCATGCAAATAGGTCTCTCAGATATGGTTCACCATAACCAGAAACATACAGAGAAGAGAATGCTAGGAAACATGGTTCAGCCTAGATATACTGATGTATTACAAAACCACCATAGTCTGCCCATTGTCACCTTACCACCCATATACATCTCTGTAAACTATACTTATTTTAAAAATAAATACATTAACAAAGTCATACTTCTGCCTAACCTGATACAACTACCCTACGTACAACTGAAAATATGCTAACCCTTTCCCCCCTAAGTGGATACTAATTCCCTTTTGTGTTTTCGATCATGTTCATTCTTAAGTTATTCAAACTCCCCCTTTGTTATCCTGTAACTTAAATACTGAGATATAAGGTTAACAATTATCCAGATATCTTATGTTAGTTGCTCAGGAAATGGGAGTAGAAAAGAAAATAAAAGTATTTGTTTAGTGTATAGTATTTTGATATGATAAATTCATATCAAAATAAGGAAGAAATACAACTACCATACTTCTCATTTCTGCACTTAGTTACATGGTCTAGCTGGTATTTATAATTGCCGCCTTCTGCTGGTTGGAGTTCCTCTCCTGGTGAGGTAACCTAAACATTTATTCCTGAAGTTTCTGGACCATTAGTAGTCTTGCATGAATTGACTTGTTTTAGTTTTCCATTGACTTTAATCACATAACAAAGGAATGCTGAAAGGCTCTCCCAGGGTTTCCCTCTGCCCCCACTGTGCGGTAGCAACCCAATTTCCTCTTGATAGTGAGGATCAATCACCAGGATGATTTGAGCAATCCAGGATTTCCATACTATTGGCATTTTGGGCTAGATAATTCTTTGTTGTAGTGGGCTGTTCTGTGCATTGTACGATGTTTAGCCACATCCTTGACGTCTAACCACCAGGTACTAGTTCACTCTCCTCCTGCAATTATAACAACAACAACAAAAAATGTCTCTAGACGTTACAAATGTCCTCTGGACAAAATTGCCCCCAGTAACCCTTTTCTTTTGCCAGTCGATTCATAGACATAAGGACCCCAAAGTGGCTATGTGAAAGTCTCAATTTCCGGTTAATGGAATCACTGTTTTGTCTCTTGCTGAAAGCATTGCTCTTTGGGGAACTACAGCCTCCAAATCAGCCGAGCCTGAAGTTGCAGAGATGGAAAGCAAACACTTTGTTAGTCAATCACTAGAGGTATTAGTGAGAGCTGCTATTCCTATTTCTATTCCTTGATTCCTAGATTCATGAATCCTGGTTATGGGAGAAACAGGACTGTACATCTGTTGTCAGGTTATATACTACCTCCTGGTCCATATTGCCATAGCTTTGAAAGGTACTGTCAACTATCTGGCACTATAACTGAGTGTTCAAAAAGCCATTCCATTGTTCTATCAAGTCAGCTACTTCAGGATGATGAGCATCATGGGAAGACCAGTGAATTCCATGGGGATGGGCCTATTGGTTGCACTTCATTTGCTGTGAAATGCTTGGCTGGAAGCAATGCTGTATTATACCATGATGGTGGATAAGGAATTCTGTAAGGCCACAGACAATGGCAGAAGCATTGTGGGCAGGGAAGAGAAATCCATGCCTATGGTAAGTGCTTATCCAGTGAGAACAAAGTGCAGCTCCTTTCATGACAGAAGTGGTAATGTAATCAGTTCACCATCAGGTATCTGGCTGATTGTCCCTAGGGAATGGTGACATTTTAGGGGCTCAGTTTTGGTCTCTGCTGCTGAAAGATTGAGTACTCAGCAGTGCTGTATTCAGATAAGCCTTGATGGGTAGAAGTCCATTTTACTAGGTTCATGCATTACCTCTATCCCTGCCAATATGGCCATTATATTTGAGCCCATTTGACAATAACAGAAGTAGATGGAGAAAGAAGTTCACCGACAGTCCCAGAATATCTCATCCTATCCACTCAACTATTAAAATCCCTCTCTGTTGAGGTCACACTTTGGTGAGCATACACATGGGACACAAAACATTTTGCATTCTGTGCCCATTTAGAGATGTTTATCCAATACTTCTCCAGATCTTTATGTTACCAATTTTCCAATTGTGTTTCATCTAATTCCTTGACCACCCAGCCAAACCATTAACCATACCTCAAGAATTATTGTAGACCCATACCTCTGGTTATTTTTCCTACCAGGAAAAATGAACAGCCAGGTACATCATTCAAAGTTCTGTCTACAGGGAGGATTTCCCTTTACCACGGTTCATGAAGGCCATCCCAGCATAGGGCTATAGTGCTATAGCCACCCACTTTCAGGTTCTGCCTGCACATATTAAGTAGAACCATCTGTAAACCAAGCCTGAGTTTTTTCTTTTTCAGTTAACTGTTCATAGAGAACTCCCCACAAGGCCATAGGTGTGGGTTGAGAGAGAAGGCAGTTATCAAGAGTGGGGGCATGGGCATCTCAGCAACTTTCTCATGCAGCTGACTTGTGCCTTCAAGACCTTATTGAGCCTGCTTTCTATCTACCACTTTTACTTGATGATGGAATGCCGCAGCTGTACATGCCTAGCTTTATGGGCTTGGTGAGTCAGACTGTCTACTTCATGATGGGCACTTCAGGTCACATGGTAACTTGGTGGCCCATGGTCAAGTGTTCAGGTCTACTAAGGTCAAGTAGAAAGCCAAAAGCTGTTTCTCAAAAGGAGAGTAGTTATTTGCACAGGATAGCGTGGTTCTGCTTCAAAATCCTAAGGGTTTTCATTGTGATTCACTAAGAGCAGCCTGCCACAGGCTCCATACAACATCCTTATCCATCACTGACACTTCAAGCTGACTCTTTATGCACAATCTCCCAGGATTTCAGCTTCTGTTTCTCATTACTCCTAATTATACTTACTTCTAGGGGAAGGATATATAATTCCTAAACTCTTGGTGTGTGTGTTTGATATGGACCCTGGGGTGAACAGAATAATGCCCCTTCCACGAAGCTGTCCATGTCCGAACCCCTGGAATCTGTGAATGTGTTAGCTTTCGTGGCAAAAGGGACTTTGCAGATGTGATTAAGTTAAGGGTCTTGAGATGGGGAACTTACTCTCTTTTATCCAGGTGGACCCAATGTAACTGCCAAAGTTCTTATAAGAGAAAGAGGGAGACAGGAGACAATCAGAAACCAAAGAATGCAAGTGGCCTTAAGAAGTGGAAAAGGTAAGGAAATAAATTCTCCTGTAGAGGCTCTAGAAGGAATACCACCCTGCTGTCACTTTGATTTTAGGACTTCTGACCTCCAGAACTATAAGATAATAAATATGAGTTTTAAGCCACTAAGTTTGTGGTGATTTGTCACAGTAGCAGTAGGAAATCTTGACATGAAACTGGACCCAAAAGGAAACGCCAAGTGTCTGGGTAGAGTCCTCTCCCTCCCTGTGCACTCCTCCTCCCCTTCCCAGTCTCCATCATTCTCCACAAGACGGGCTCCAGGCAAACTATTGAAGGACACAAAGTCATTGCAAGACTCTTCTTTCTACCCCTTCTGTACCCTGTGTCTTTATGTAAACCCCTGGCTACCTGAGGTTCCTGAGTTCTTCCTCTGTCCCATCAACTTTTTTTCATCAAGCCTTTTAAATTCTTCTTTTGCTCAGGATTTGAACTCTAATAGAAAAATGATAAATTGTTATTGAATCCGTGACTTCTATTTTCAAATATATCTGAAACACATTTATATTTCTATAGTGGTTTCTTGTAGACTCTAAGTCACAGAAGGAGTTACTCTAACGATGAAAAATTTCAGTTTTGTGGCAAGCTAATTCTGGGAAATTTGGAGTCTTTCAAATTACTTCAGGTAAATGCCAGTCTACATGCAGGGCATTTTCTGACTGCTAATTGCTTATCCCCAAGTGTCCATTAATGTTTCCTGTTGTTGTGTCTGGAAAATCATAAAATTTTCAAAGGTTTTTGCTGTTCATGTACAAACTTGCATTTGGGATGTTATTTAGGATCCACAGCTCACTGAAGTTACTAAGTTATCTTGTCTAGTTTGTTTTGTTCTTAGGTTCTGTTAGATGTGACAGTAAGACATTTTCTGCTGCTCCATCCTCTGTGTCACTCAAATCATTGTTGCTGGTCTCCTTGGTACTGGTAGCCTGGATGAGTAAAGTTTGTGTTAGTGGCTCTGGAAAGACTGTGAGTCCATGCAAGAATGGGAGAGGTGCTTAAGGAAGATGCACTCTTCCATCTTTGTAGCCAAGGAATGTCAATTGAAATAGCACACCAAAGAGATACTGTTTTTTATACTTTGATTTTCTTTTTTTATCTCAGCTTTATTGATATATAATTGACATATAGTATTTTGTAAGTTTAGAGTGTACAACCTATTGATTTGATACACTTACATATTGCAAAATGATTACCACCATAGTGTTAGCTAACACCTTTGTAGTGTAGCGTAATTACCATATCTTTTTTGTGGTGAGATCATTGAAGATGCAATCACTAAGCAACTTTCAAGTATACAATACAGTATTATTAGTTATAATAAACATGTACATTAGATCCCCAGAACTTATTCATCTTATAACTGGAAGTTTATAGTTAAAGAGATACTTTTTTTTCCATTTTGGTGCTGGCGTTTTATTTTTACTTTTTTAATTAATTAATTAATTTATTTATTTATGGCTGCACTGGGTTTTTGTTGCTGCGCGTGGGCTTTCTCTAGTTGCAGCGAGCAGGGGCCACTCTTCGTTGTGATGCATGGGCTTATCATTGCCGTGGCTTCTCTTGTTGCAGAGTACAGGCTCTAGGCGCGTGGGCTTCAGTAGTTGTGGCATGCAGGCTCAGTAGTTGCGGCACACAGGCTTAGTTGCTCCATGTGGCATATTCCCGGACCAGGGCTCGAACCCATGTCCCCTGTATTGGCAGGCGGATTCTTAACCACTGTGCCACCACAGAAGTCCCTGAAGAGATACTTTTAAATTGCCATGGTCACAATGTACCATCTCCACCCTGACAGAGTTTGCAGTGCTGTTCTTTGGATAGAGTCTTCTCTTAGACTATTAAAACCAGCTGTCTAAGGCTTTCCAGACTCTAGGCTTCAGGCTTGCAACCATCCCAGTCCACAGTTCGGCTTTGTGAGCCCACGCCCTGAATTTGGTCCTCTCTGTCCTATGACTCTGTATATGACAGGAGGAAGCCAGTAGGGAAATGGAAAATAGCTTTTCTTCTGGGGCCTTAGGGCAGAGATGGACTAAGCACCATTCCACATCTCTTTTGTTAATAGACCCTACCCTAGGCCTGGGAGGCCACCTGTGGTGGACTTTTTGCAAAATGGCCACTATCATTCCTTTCTCTTTATCTGCATCACTTGTGATGTAACTGTGCAGTTGCTTACCTTAAGAGGTGGAGTATATTTCCCCAGCATTTGAATCTGGGCTAGCCTGATGATGTATTTTGGAATGCAGCAGAAGTGTTGCTGGGTCGATTCTGAGCCTAAGGATCTACCTGTTCTCCTGGAACACTGTTCATCTGCCAAGTAAATAATCACGGGGGCAAAGCTTGCTAGAGGGCGAGAGACCACCTGGAAGAGAGAGAAGCCATCTGAGCAGAGGTCACCCTAAACTAGCCAGTGCCGAGCTGTCCCAGCAGCTGACCACAGATGTCTAGTGAGCCTGGCTGAGACCTGAAGAACTGCCAAGCTGAAGTCAGCCTAATTGCCCACCTGCAGAATTATGGCTAAAATTTGGTTGTTTTCAGCCACTATGGCTTGGAGTGGTTTGTTATGCAGCCAAAGTTTATTGACTTGTCATCAAGGTTAGAAGCATTTCCAAATTACAAGTTACATGCACTGCTGAATTATCACACCTGCCACGTAAGAGGAAAGAAAAGGCAAAGGGTGAACCATATATGGAAGAGAAGAGATATAAAAGGAGGAATATATAGGCAGGTTGCTATTACTCTCAGGTAGTTCTGATTATAATCCAGTTTCTTCTCCCACTAAATGGATCACTTTACAATTCAACTGGAATCTTTTCTTTACAGGACTCAGAAACTCCCCCACACTGGCTTAAGTAAAGGAAAATTAGTCTCAGGGGTATCTCATGGATCCCAAGTGTCTGGATCCCAAGACCCAGCTAGGTCTTCTTGAGTGACTGGCCCTAGAACTGGGATATAGTTTGGAACCAAGCGAGCTACTTTTTCTGCCTTGTTTTTTCCACCTCTTTCTCAAGATCTCTCATCACTTCTGTATGTTTGCTTCACTTTTTCTCTCTTCACTTCTCTGTTTGCACATAGCTTCATTGTGCCCATTCCAAAATAGCAGGCTCAGACTCCAGTCCTCAGGACCTTCTAGCTCACCTTCCATAAATTCAAATTCCCATTCAGAGAGAATCCTATTTGGCCCACTGTGGGCCAGTCAGTTATGCTTGAGTGGTGGTTGGCAAGGCCAATAAAGATACCCTTTTTTTTTGCTTTAAAAAAAAAATTTTTTTAAATTATTTTTTTAAACATCTTTATTGGAGTATAATTGCTTTGCAACGGTGTGTTATTTTCTGCTTTATAACAAAGTGAACGAGCTATACATATACATATGTCCCCATATCTCCTCCCTCTTGCATCTCCCTCCCACCCACCCTATCCCACCCCTCTAGATGGTCACAAAGCACTGAGCTGATCTCCCTGTGCTATGAGGCTGCTTCCCACTTTTTTGACATTGGGCAGGTATCTTTTGTAAGAACCAGAGGACTGCATTAATTTCTTAATCTCTACTACTGGCAGGAACTACACCTTACTTTCTGGAACTCCTTTTTTACCAAGTTACCAAATAGATTTTTACCTTTGCTTTCCAGTGGAGGATCAACTTCTGCGTCCTTCCATTGGAGGAATATGAATGACAATAATCAGCAATTTCCTTTCCTGATCAGGCTGGCGCAGGGCTTGGAAAGTCTTTCTTAGCCCTGAGTCCTGCCTCATATGTCTTTATGATGCTCCTGGTGTCCCAAGACTCAGGACTTCCAGCCTCTCCTTCCTATGAAGCTAGCTTCCAGTGTCCTTAACATTCTACTCAGCATCTGGGTCTGCTTTCCTTTTTTTAAAAAATTGTGTTTTGATTTGTTTTATTTTACAGTAGTCAAAATCTAGAAGCCTGCTGATCGAGACACTCTCTAATAGCAATTTATAGTTATATGGATTTTATGGAATAGAAAATTTAAAAAAATAAATCTGGGTACTGACATATGGTTACCAGGTCTATATTTTGCCACAGAAAGCCATTATAAGCTCCCATATCCAATCATCATCATTTAATGTTAGATTGAAACCAAGGAAATTGCCATTTTTGTAGGTCAAAAACAGTTGAATATTGGCAATTTCCTGTGGTTCAATGTAATATATTGAAGCATGTTTTAACTTGAGAACTGTAGGAAGGATATACTCTTATAATAAAGAACTGACCTTTACAGTGAGCTTATTTAACTTTATGAAAAATGCACTACACTTTCCTTAATTTTCTTATTTCATCATGAACCATGAACACTTTATAATGGTCTGGCACTAGTTTTTGATGTGTCCTTTTTTTAAACACAGGTCTGGGGAAACACATCTGTGTGATCCTCCCAGGATCACTCTCATTCCTAAGAATGCTTTTTTCCTAGCCTCTGAGGCAGGGTTCTGGCCTTCCCTTGATTCAAAGTCATTTTCAAAGAGCAGTCATCTTCTCTCTGAGGCCCTCTCAGACTGCTGTTGGGTGAATCCTTCACTTGCACCAAACTTGGGTATTTAGGGGACATGTTTTCAGCACTCAATTCATTGTCACATTCCCGCTCATGAAGAACATGGTTACATTTACGAAAGGAGCCTCAGTAACCTCCTATGGTTCCGCAGTGAAATATGCAAACCAGTTTTTCGATCAACCATGAGTTAAAGATCTTCCCTTTGGATTGTGTTTCTTGCACAACTTTTCTATCTCAGACAACTCCCCCATCACCCTCTATTTCCTACCCAAGGGATCTTCATCTCTTACAAGCAAGATCCAGACAGATTGTATGACAAACTGGCTTTGGTTATTAAAAACATCTTTTTAGCTCTTGGCACAATAAGCAAAACCACCCCTGATGAAAAGAAAGTCTCTCTCTACCATATGGTTCTTGAAAGAAGTACAATTTTCTGAATTTACTGTACATGTGAAAACAATAAACAATTTGCATTTCTTTCTTTTT